GGAATGGCTCCCACTGCCAGAGGGCAGGGATGGATTGGGGATTCCGGGTGGGGAGGAGCTGGGATGGAATTCCCAGAGCAGCTGTGGCTGCCCCTGGATCCCTGGCAGTGCCCAAGGACGGGTTGGACAGGGATTTGAGCAGCCTGGAGCAGTGGAAGGTGTCCCTGGAAGGTTCTGGAAAGGACACGGACTTGAGGCATTTTGTGAACCAGCAAGGAAGGGTTGGACAAATCTCATGGAGCTCAGAATTAATGATAAGAGAATTCGGTAGGTGGGAATTCTGTGTGCTGTAAAACAGGGATTTCAGGACCATCACTCCTGCTTTACGCTCAGGAGCCAGAATTTGGCCCAAAGAGCCCGGCAGAAGCTGCTGGAGCCCCTTCCCTGAGTGTCAGGCTCTGCTCGGGGGAGCTGCACTCTGGGACTAATTCCTCCAGCAAGATCCATTGAATTCCAGAGCAATCCACTAAGGAAGAGCTGAATTGCTTGGCAGGATAATGGGGGCAAGAAAGAACTTGGCAGGAGGGTGAAACCTGGCAGGTTTCTTTGACCAGAAGAGTCCCAAATATAACAAGTGAACCAAAATTCCCTCAAGAACCATAAATAAGGATCTGAATCCCTCACACCAGGCTCATCTGCTCAAGATCTGCTGCTGGTGTGTGTTTGAAAGCCAAGATCCATCCTCCCAAGACCAGAATAGTTTTAAAGCCCTGAGCCACGAGCTGCTGAAGAACACAGAAATAATGTTGTTATTGGAGTTGTGCTAATTCCATTTCGTGTCATTACCTTGCTCAGTTTGGGGGAAAAGGATTCTTAAAGGATGGGGGTTGCTCTTTAGGGGGAGAGTGTTTGTGTGAGTTTATTGCTGCTGGGTTTTAAACATTATGGATGATGTTGGTAAACTCATAATAAGTGGAAAGTAGTTTTACTTCTTTCCCTGCAGCTTTTGCAATTATTAAAATGCAGAGGTTACGATGTAATTTGTTAAAATCTCTTCTGAGGGATGCAGAAGGAATTATTCCAAGTGACTCAGACCTGCTGAGACTGGAGGAGCTTTTCAGAAAGGTTTGGGAGTGTCTGAGCGAATCTGGGAAGGCCCTGCTTAAATAATGAACTGCTAATTGCAAATTTATGATCAGCACCAGGAGTTTTGGCCATTTTCTGGAAACTGCCTCCCCTCATTCATTCCTGTCTCCCAGGGGAGGTGGTTTATCCAGAGGATGGATCAACAGACCCTTGGCTGTTGGTTACTCTGATTCCAGGTTCCCAATTTGCCAAGCCAGAAGGTGGTGCTGGGGTGAGGAGGTGAAAATCCATGGGTGTGGAAGGGTTAAAGATGGGTGGGAAGGAGCTCTGGAATTTGGGAATAACAGGAGTCCTTTGGCATCGTCAGACATTTCTGGGAAATCCAGCCCTCACTGTCCACCCCTAAAAACAAACCAGAGCCTTTCAAAAAGTTTGTTTGAGCTGGTTTGGGAGAGGGTTTCAGGATGGTGAGGAAAAATCATGGGATGTGTCTCTCTAATTCCTGCTCCCTGCAGGCTCTGGACAGGTGTGAGCACAAGGACTCCAAAATCCACGGGAGTTTCTCTTTGGGCAGCTCCCACGGCCCCTCGGGGTCGGGACTGATGTGCAGAGATCGGGGGGAGCACCAGGGGCCTCCCCACAGCCCTGCAGGATCCAGCTCCTGCACAGCTCCTTTCCCTCCAGGGAATTGGGGGATACCCACAGTGAACCTGTTCAGGAACACACATAATCACAGGATATGATTATCTGCAGGTGCTTTTATTAAGAGCTCTGGGAATCAGGGGTACAGACCCAAATCTGACTCCGACATGGCTTTTGGGCTGAATGTATTTTATATTCTATCATTATATAACTTACATATTAATTATTAAACTCATATTGTTCTATTGTATACATTGACATGAGTTTCTCATTATCTTTTTAGGCCCCTGACCACAGTTTCTCATGATTATTCTTACTATTAAACAGTAATTATATTTAATTACAAAACAATCTTCACATCTAACAATTATATCATTTATCATGTACTAGCTACACAGGTGCAGTTCTAGCAAGGTACAAGGCCTTCACGTACCCAGGGTATTTATTTTTTTCAGGTCCTACTAAGCTTAATTTTCCTTTTAACCCTAAATCCCCATGATTTTAAAACCCTTTTACTATCAACCCCCCTGAATTCACCATTCCATCTCACCCAGGCTGGTTAAGACACAAACACCCTAAATGTGATTTTAATCCTGATTTGTGCAACTCATCCCATTCAGATTTGGGGGTGTGGGTGTTTTTGAGGGAGGGGAAGAACCAAAGGGGTTTTTACCTGGCCAGAGGTGTTCTCACAGCATGGCTGCTGACCTAACTCAGGGTCAGGGGATATTTTACAGGGTATTTTGCTCCCTATTTCTGTCAGATTTTCCCATGGGACAGCTCCAGTGCTTTGATGAGTGAGAAGCTGCATTTTCCAGTAAAATTTTAGGGATTGGTCTGAGAGTTTTGCTCCTCAGCAAAGATGGTGGAACTTGAACTCTCAATCTGTGGTTTTTAGAGATAAATGTGAATCAAATGAAGAGATTTAACCTAAAGGGTGTTGGGGAATTCCCCATCCAATAATCAAAGTTTAAACGTGGAATTTACTGCTTCCAAAAAGTTTTGGGTTGTGCATTAAACAGCAAGTGGTGTGCTAAAATATGTCCTTAAGGAAAAAGAAAAATAAATAGAAAAAGGAAAAAGAGGAGAGAGAAAGGGAAAGAAAATGGGAAAGGGAAAGAGAAGTAAAAGAGAAAGGGAAAGAGATGGAAAAGAGAAAGGGAAAGAGATGGAAAAGAGAAAGGGAAAGAGATGGAAAAGAGAAAGGGAAAGAAAAAGGAGAAGAGAAAGGAAAAGAAATGGAAAAGTGAAAGGGAAAGAAAAAGGAGAAGAGAAAGGAAAAGAAATGGAAAAGAGAAAGGGAAAGAAAAAAGAGAAGAGAAAGGAAAAGAAATGGAAAAGTGAAAGGGAAAGGAAAAGGAGAAGAGAAGGGAAAGAGAAAGGCAAAGAGAAAGGTAAAGAAAAGGAAAAGAGAAAGAAGGAAAAAATAAATGTAAAAATAAAACTAAAACAAATAAATGTAAAAACAGAAAAAGAAAGATACGAAGAGAAAGCAAAATAAAAACAAAGAAAGGAGAGAGAGTGAGAAGAAAAAAATATGAAAAGATGAAAAGGAAAAATAAGTTGGTAAAAACTGATGCTTAAATTTTATAGAATCTCATTTAAATTAAATTTGAAGTTTATGTTTCCTCTAGGGATGGAACCAAGGATAACAAACGGTGCCAGGTGACATGAGTGGAGCAGGATATTCTGAGTGATCCCTGCTGAACTGGATAAAATAATAGAGCAGAAAGGCAGTTTAGGGACCCCTGATATCACCAGAACCTCCTCCAGCCACAAAAATGTCCCTGTCACCATCAGGGTGACACTCAGCAGCACACTGCCCGCAGCTCAGGGACCTCCGGCTGCCACAGAGCCAAATCCTGTGCTTCAGGATGGATGGGGGGATGGAGGGATGAATGGATGGATGGATGATGGAGGGGTGGATGGATGGATGGATGGATGGATGGATGGATGGATGGATGGATGGATGGATGGATGGACGATGGATGGATCCAATCTCCAATCCCTGCACTGACAGCCAAGGTGCAGCCTGCTCCAGCAGAACATTTGGATGCATGAGGGATTTGTCTGAGCTTTCCTACCTCTCCTAATTATTCTTCTTTACACGTGCAAGGAGTCAATTTTCTCTCTGTGTCTAATTTTCTATTCTAATTTTTCTATTTCTAGAAGCTCATGTTCTTTGGGCTGGAATTACACATTTCCCTTTCCCTGGGCTGGGTTGCTTCTGCTCAGCATCCTCTGTGGCTTTTCCCAATGCTTTTCCCTTTTTCACGCTATTTTTTGGGAAGCAATTTTGCCTTGGTGCCTCATTTCAGCCCTCCCAGGGTGCTGCAGCCCATGGGCAGGGTCACTTGGGCAGGATTGAAAACTGGTGGGTGGCCAGCCCAGGGAAGGGTGGGAAGGGTGGGAATGGTGCCATATCCAGTTGGGACCCGTCTTGAGTCCCCCAGGGATCAGCACTGAGCCCAGTTCTGCTCAGTATCTTTATTATGATCTGGATTAGGGGATGCTCATCAGTAAATTCACAGATGGCACTGAGCTGGGTGGGATGTGGATCTGCTGGAGGTCAGGGAGGCTCTGCAGAGGGATCAGGACAGGCTGGATCCATGGGGTGACATTAGAACTGTGACGGTCAACAAGGCCAAGTGCCTGGTCCTGCCCTTGGGTCCCCATGGAATGCTCCAGGCTGGGAGAAGAGGGGCTGGAAAACTGGGAAAGGCCCTGGGGGTGCTGAGGAGAGTGGCTGGACACGAGCCCAGGTGTGCCCAGGTGGGCAAAGCCAAGGGTACCGTGTGCGGGCAATGGTGTGACAGCAGCACAGGTCAGTGCCCGTCCCCTGTGCTTGGCACTGCTGGGGCACCTCCAGTGCTGGGGACAGCTTGGGGACACTGCCAGACAGACCTGGAGGGGCTGGAGCGTGTCCAGGGAAGGGAAGGGAGCTGGGAAGGGGCTCAGCAGAGGCTGAGGAGCTGGGAAGGGGCTCAGCCTGGAGAAAAGGAGGCTCAGGGGGGCCCTTGTGGCTCTGCACAGCTCCTGACAGGAGGGGACAGCCGGGGGGATTTGGGATCTCATCCCAGGGAACAGGGACAGGAGGAGAGGGAACAGCCCCAGGCTGGGCCAGGGTGGACATCAGCAGGAATTTCCCCATGGAAAGGGGGTCAGGGATTGGGGGTTTGGAGCGCCCATCCCTGGAGGTGGCCAAGGAACGTCTGGCGGTGGCACTCAGCGCTCTGCGCTGGGGACAAGGGTCGGATTTGCTAATCCCGGCTTTGCCAATCCCGGTTTTGCCATTCCGGGTTTGCCAATCCTGGATTGGCCAGTCCCGGTTTTGCCAATCCCGGTTTTGCCAGTCCCGGTTTTGCTCTCCCAGCCCCGGCGCTCCCTCAGGCTCGGGAGCGGCGCCTGAGGGGCTCCGGCCGCAGCCGCCAGGGGGCGCCAGGAGCAGCGGCCTCGCGCACGCGCAGTGCCCGCTCCCACCGCCCTGCCCGCGCCGCCTCTTACACCGCGCGGCCGGCGGAGGAGCTGTACAGCCCGGCCGGGAGCACCGGGAGCACCGGGAACACCGCGAGCACCGGCAACACCGGGAACTCCGCGGGCACCGGGAACTCCGCGGGCACCGCGAGCGGCGGTGCCGGACCGCATGAACCCGGAAGCAGCGGCGCTTCAGCCGCGGCACTGCGCAGGCGCGGGGACAGAAGCGACCAATCGCAGCCAGCGGCGCGGCGGTGACGTCACAGGGACTGTGAGGGGGCCTGGCTCTGAGAAAAGGCGCCGGAGGAACCGGGAGCGGGTCCGGGAGCGGTTCTGGGTCCGGGAGCGGTTCTGGGGTCCGGGAGAGGGTACGGGAGCGGTTCTGGGGTCCGGGAGAGGGTCCGGGAGCGGTTCTGGGGTCCGGGAGCGGTTCTGGGGTCCGGGAGCGGTTCTGGGGTCCGGGAGGGGTTCTGGGGTCCGGGAGGGGTTCTGGGGTCCGGGAGGGGTTCTGGGGTCCGGGGTTCGGGCGCGGTTCTGGGGTCCGGGAGCGGTTCTGGGTTCTGGAGCGGTTCTGTGGCTCAGGAGTGGGTCCGGGAGCTGTTCTGGGGTTTGGGAGCAGTTCTGGGATCAGGCAGCAGTTCTGGGTTTGGGAGCGTTTCTGGGACCTGGGGGCGGTTCTGGGGCTCGGGAGCAGTTCTGGGGTTCGGGAGTGGTTCGGGAGCCCGGGGGCAGTTCTGGGTTCCAGGCGTGGTTCTGGGCCCAGGAGCGGTTCTGGGGCATGGGAGCGACTCTGGGGTTCGGGAGCAGGTCCAGGAGCAGTTCTGGGGTTCGGGAGCAGTTCTGGGTTCCAGGCGTGGTTCTGGGACCCGGGAGCAGTTCTGGGGTTCGGGAGCAGGTCCAGGAGCAGTTCTGGGGTTCGGGAGCTGTTCTGGGGTCTGGGATCTGGAGCAGGACATCCCAGGGGTCAGGCGGTGGCCTCAGTGGGCTTGAGGAGGGTCAGAGGACGGAAGGAATGGCTGGCTGTGGGTGACAGATCTCCCTGCAGGGCCGTGCCCGTGCCGTGGAAGAGCTGGCGCTGTGCTGGTGCCAGGTGAGATTTCCAGGCTGGATCTGCTGGAGGGACCTGGAAGAGGCGGCTGTGCTCCTGTTCGTGTCCTGGAGCTGGAGGAAAAGGGTGGAAATCCGGTCATGAATCCTTCCCAAAGGAAGAGTTGGAGGTGGTCAAGAGAAGGAGCTGCTCCAGGCTGTGATTTATTCATGATGAGTTTCTCCAAACTGTGTTCTGCTGCTGGCTGGCAGCTGCTGCCACACTCCCCACACTTCCAGCATATGGAGAGGAGGAATCCGCAGCCCTGGCCCTGGGCTGGGGTGAATGTTGTGCTGATTTACAGCCAGCTGCACGCTGAGGGGTGAGGCAGACACTCTGGTTGGCATCTGGATCTCCACAAGCTCATTAGCAGCTCTGTGCAAGCTGCACTTACCCAGTGTAACCCTGACAGCTTTTTGGGAGGATTCTGCAGCCTTCAAAGCAGGAGATAAGACAGGAATGTTGCAGGAAGGGAGGATGGTGTGGCTGGGGACACAGCAGAGGCACGCCCAAGCTTGGAAGAGAAGGAAATCTCCATGTGCTGCTGGAGGCTCTCTCTGACAAGGCACACGCCTCTGATCATCCCTGATCCCCTCCTTGATCACTGGAGTTGCTGCCCGAGCTGCCTGCACAGCTCTGTGACGTCCCTGTGTTCTCAGGGAGTGCCACCCTGGGCAGTGGGAGGTGTCCCTGCCCATGGCAGGGCTAGAACTGATGGGCTCTAAGGTGTTTCCAAACCAAACCAGTCTGGGATTTGGTAATTAATGACTTTGTGCTAATTACCCAGAGCAGCACTGGCACAAAGACTTCATGCCCTCGGCACGCCTCACCTTCTGCAGAGGATTTTGCTGATTTTTGGGGTGTTGGAAGGACTGAGTGCTACACACAAGGCAATGCTGCATTAATGTTATTTAAAAATAACATTTATTGATACCCTGCAGTCAGAGTGGGATCAAGGAGACAGAGGAAGGCCTGGCTGGTGACTTTTCCTGGTTTAAAATTGCCCAGAGCTCTAAAGGTGCCTCACTTCCCTGGGCACGGATAGGTGGGAGCACTGACAGCCCTCTGTGCCTGTGTGAAACACCTTCCTGCTCATTTTGTGGCTCTCTGTTCCATAAAGGAAATGGAAATGTTCAATGTGTGAACAAAACCCTTCAGTGAAGGCAGGGAGAGCCTTGGAACAGAGAGTCCTGGCCTTGGCTGAGCCCTGAGTACAGCTTTGCTCAGAGCAGGGAACCCCAGGCTGCTTTTTGTACCCATTTTACACCAAATGGTTCGGTCTCTGAGTTTTGGCAGCTCGGTTTGGGGTTTTTCTCCTTGACTGTAAGGATTCTGTGGAGTCACTGGTTTGTTTCAGAGCACTACTGGAGCCAATTAAACAATACTTGGTGGTGAAGCTGGTTTTGTCTTAATTTAAAAACGGGGATTTTTTGGGAGTGAGCACAATTTTCTGCCTGCTTTCCTGTGCTGCTGCTGAAGATGAAGGGCATGCTGGTGCTTTTTATCTCTCTGTGGTGCTCTTTATCTCTGTGCAAGCAGCCCTACATCCCAAATCCAGGGCAGTCTGTCAAGGAAGGAGTGGAGCCCCACCTCCCTCAGCTCTTTGTGGTCTGCCAGAGTCACAAAAACAGGAGTTTGAAGCGCTCAGTGCTTGTTCAGGGGCTGCAGTTGGCTCCTGGAGTGAGGGGTTACCTCTGCACAGCCCCTGAGCTGCACCTTTTACAGCTTTTAGGTTGTTCAGTGAAAATTTGGTCAATAAAACTTCAGAATTTACCAACTTGAGCGTAGAGGATCTGTGAGCAGAAGGCTCGTGCTGAACAAGGACAGCTCAGAGCAGCTGCTGGCAGCAAGTGAATGTTGTCATTGTGCAGCTCAGTTAGAAACTGAGTTCCAAAATTGGAGGCGAGTTGTTCTCCTGCAAGAACATCAGGGAATTAGACAGATTTTATCATAATGCTCTTACTTTGGACCACTTTCTTCAAAAATCTGCTTTAAAAATAGAGGAGAGGTCCAGAAGGAAAGGGGGTGGGAGAGAAAAAACCATTTTATTCTCTTCCCCCTTCACAGCTAATCAAACTTGGATTTTTTTTTTTTCTGTTTAATTGGGATAGCTGAGAGTTCAGCAAGAGGAACAAAGAGGTAAAATGGCACAAAGTTACTGTCACAAATTCTCCTGGGATTTGTTTTGCATGAATATCACACAAACACACCCAGAGTCAGACAAAACTCTGCAGTTTGGGGTTCAGGGTCTGACAAGGACATTTGAAATGCAAATAGAAAATACTTGTTAAAATCAAGTACAAGAAGGAAGTGGGGTGAGTATTTTCCTGACATATTTCCTGGTTTTTAAAGGAGAAATCTAAACCCATTTTTATGTCCGTGTTGGCTTTAAAAGCTTTAAGGAATACAGGAGGGGAAAAAAGCTTCAAAACCTGGAATCCTGTGGGACCAGCACTGCCTTTCCCAGCCATTAAATAATTCAAGGTTTGCTGGAATTTCCTTGGAGCTGCCTGAAACTGCCAGGTGGCAAAGGAGGGGGGGATGAGGCTCAGAGGGGACACACAGGGGGGTTGATGGCTCTGAGGGGGGACACATGAGGTGACAAGGCTCAGAGAAGAGACACAGGAGGGATTTTGGCTCTGGGAGGGGACACCCAAGGTGACAGCCCAGGCTCTGGGGCAGCAGCAGCTCCCAGGATCTCTGGAAGCCAGGAAACCCCAGCAGATCTCCTGCAGTTTTGGGGGAGCCCCAGGAATCCCTTCAGCAATAAATGAGCCGCACATGTATAAATGTATATATCATATGTGGATTTCTATGTATGTATCTTCAGCACAATCCTATTAGCCTTGAGGACATCAGAGTGGTTTAAAACACACCGTGGGACACAAGCAGGAATTTTCTTGCTTGCGTTAGAGAAAAAGCCAATTAGCAGCGTGTTAATTAGGTGGGGGCTCCGTGCTCCGATGTACTTGAATGTTTAAACAGGTGGGAGGCCGGGTTTACAGCAGCAAAGCGCTTCGTACAGCTTCAGGAGGCTCCTGGCACCGAGAAATTTTGCCGCAGATGTGCAAAAATCAAGCCCCGAAGAGTTTTGAGGGAGAACGTGCGGAAATACAGGAAAAAAAGCGGGGAATTTCCCGATCCGGGAGGAAAAAATGAAACTTCCCATACCGGGAGTCGAACCCGGGCCGCCTGGGTGAAAACCAGGAATCCTAACCGCTAGACCATATGGGAGGCGCTGGGTGCTGCAGCGCCCGCGCGCCTCATAACGGTACTGCTCGCCGCGCTAATCGCCACAGCGGCCCCGCCAGCTCCCGTTCTGCTGTTCCACGGGAAACACCGGGAGTCACCGGGGAATACCCGGCATTAATTAGGCTCCCCCAGTAAATGCCCTCGCCGTGCCAGAAAGACGCTGCCCTCATCCAACATGGCGGCCAGGGCGTCGGCCGCCCTGCGTCCGCGTCACGTGACGCCGGAGGCGCGTGCGCGGGGCGGGCGCTCACGTGACCGACGGCGGCCGCCGAGCTCCGAGTCCCGTGAGCGCGGGGGGCGGGACGGGGGCGCCGCCACAGCCCCGGGCAGCCCCCGAGCTGGGCACCGACACCGCCCCGGGCACCGCCACAGCCCCGGGCACCCCCCGAGCCGGGCACCGACACCGCCCCGGGCACCGACACCGAGCCGGGCACCGACACCGCCCCCGAGCCGGGCACCCCCCGAGCCGGGCACCGACACCGCCCCGGGCACCGTCACCACCCCCCGGCACCGACACCGCCCCCGAGCCGGGCACCCCCCGAGCCGGGCACCGACACCGCCCCGGGCACCGACACCGGCCCCAGGCACCGACACCGCCCCCGAGCCGGGCACCCCCCGAGCCGGGCACCGACACCGCCCCGGGCACCGACACCGAGCCGGGCACCCCCCGAGCCGGGCACCGACACCGCCCGGCCTGCCGGGGCTCCCACCGGCAGCGCCCCCCGAGCCGCCGCAGGTACCGGGGGTCCCACCGGCAGCGTCCGCCAAGCCGGCCCCGAGCCGCCCATCGCCGCCGGAGGTACCGCGGCGCGGAGCGGAGCGGGGATGGGGCTGCGGGACATCCCGGGGGATGGCGGGGATGGGGCTGGATGGCGTCCCGGGGGAATGGAAGGACATCCCCGGAGACGGGGCTGCGGGAATCCGGAGGGAAGGGGCTGCGGAGGGACTCCCGGCCCGGCCGGGTGGTTTCGGGGGCGCCGGCGGTTCCCCGGCGGCAGCGGGAGTTCCCCATGGCCGGAGCAGGGGGAGGGGAGCTGGGGCTGTGTCAGCGCTTCCCGGTACCGGGGGTGGCATTGGGATTGGCATTGGCATTGGGAGTGGGATTGGGATTGGGATTGGCGAGCGGAGCCTGTGCGTGTGGGAAGCAGCGATCCAAGGTGGGCTTCTCTCTGCAGGTGTGTGATGCCAAGCACAGCCATGAAGAAAAAGGTAAGGACGAGGAGGAGTATCCTGTGTTTTCCTTCCCCATCCCCATCCAGGAACACCGTTTGTTGTATCCATCTCTCGGGCTGGGGCTCTGGTGCCTCTTGGAGTCAGTGCTGCATCCTCTGTGGAAGTGCCAGGCGTTAAAACCGGATTTAATCCTGGCCTGGATGGGCTGGGTTTGTGCAGAGCCTTCCGCGGCAGTTTCTGTTCCCTGGGTGTTGCAAAACCCTCTGCAAACCCCGTGCTCAGGGAGGAGGATCTGCTCCTATCCCTGGGCCACCCTCCCGAGGTGTCCCCGGAGCCCCAAATCCCCTCGGGGCTCCCAGGAGGATGAAATTTAACAGTGGGGAAGGAGCAGCAGCTCTGGGCATCGCAGGGGTGGGTGTATCCCAGCAGGAGCACAGCCAGAGCTCTTAAAGGAACATCTGGCTGCTTTTCCGTGATGAGGTGGGGTTGGGTTCCCTGTCTGACCTCTCTGCAAGGCCTCTGCAGCCTAAACTTTGGGAACTGGGGCTGCTTTGGGCCATGCTTTAGAGTGGGATTGAGCTTCTGCTTGGGATTTTGTGCTGGTGCTGTGAAATAAGAGCTTGGCTGTTCTCTGGGATCAGCTCAGGGGACAGGACAGGACAGGGCAGCATCCAGGGTGTGGAACAGCCAGGATCACTCCTTGTTGCCAATCCTGGAGCCTGTGGGCAGCTTCCCTTTGGCCAGGGTGCTCCCAGCCCGGAGCTGCTGCAGGGGTGACCTGAGCACACAGGAGTAACCCAAATTAAACAGGACTGGGGAGTTCTGCCTTGCTTGTGTGCGAGGCAGCTCCTGCTCTGCTGTCCAGGGCGAGGGCAGGCACTCACTGGGTGTTCTCCTGAAATCCCTCCTGGATGGCAGACAGGAGCTGGATTTGGCTTTGTGACTTGTTTAACAGCTGGGTTTTGTGAGCAAGGCTGTGTTGGCTGCCACTGATGGGTTTGTTTTGTTTAATTTTTATTTTTAGATCACAATGTAAAGCCTTGCCTGGTGTGACTATTCCCTCATCCCCACCCCCCCTGCATTCCCTACTTTTTGGTTGCCTCTCCTTTCCCCTGAGGTCTGCAGGGATGGGAGATCATGGAGCCAAGAGTCTCCTCTGGAGAGGTGTCACTGGAGCCATAAAGGGTTTCCCCTGCTCTGGGGACCCTGACCTGGGTTGTCTCATCTGCTTTTCCCTTTTTTTTTCTGTCTTCTGTCACCTGAAACTGGGAATATCCCTGGTATTTGGGGAAAAGAAAACTGGTCCTGTTGTGGGAAGAGCAGTATTAGAAGGGCTTTAAGGTCCCTCCCACCTGTGTCTGGTTAGGACAGAGTGTTTGGGATGGAAAACCAGGAGCTGAGGAGTTGTTTTTGGTCTGGAGAGTCGAGACAAAACTGTTCCTCATCTTCAAAATCCTTTGGTACCACCAAAGCCATCAGGTGGGAGGGGCTGGGAATGGGGAGGCAGCTCCTGCTTTTCCCAAGTCCTGTCCACATTTTTGGAGAAAAGTGTTCAATCTGATCATGGCCCTGTGACCATGGACAGCAGGGAGGTGGGATGACCAAGGACAGCAGGGAGGTGGGATGACCATGGCCCTGTGACCAAGGACAGCAGGGAGGTGGGATGACCATGGCCCTGTGACCAAGGACAGCAGGGAGGTGGGATGACCACAGCCCAGGGACCAGTCATGAGTGGTTGGGATGTCTGTCCTGCTTCCCTGGTGCTCCTCTCTGCCTCTCTCCTGGTGCATTCCCAGCTGTGCTGTGCTCAGTGCCTTTGGCAGTAAGACGTCAGCTCGAGGGAGCTGGGAAGGACTCGGTGTTCATTGGGAGCTCATTTTTCCTCCTTTCCCTCTGTGCAGGTGCTGCTGATGGGTAAAAGTGGGTCTGGGAAGACCAGCATGAGATCCATTATCTTTGCCAACTACATCG